CTCCCATTAAAGAACAAAACCAGCTGTTACTGAAATAAGTTGAAATTGACAAAAGTAACAATAAATAAAAATTTAATGAACATCATGACATTGCTTTTGAATTGTGGTTCAACAGAAATATTTTTTAAAAAAAACATGCAAACAAGCATGATGGGACCCGTAAACTAATATTTAGTTGAACAACCCTTTGAGCCAATCACTGCAATCAAGTGTTTCCTGTAACTCTCAGTCAGACTTCTGCACCTGTTGACAGGATTTTCATCAGCCAAGTGCTCTAATTTGTTCAGGACAGTTTTGTTAGTTTTTTTTTAAATGATTCTTTTCAACCGCAATTCAAAAGCAACGTCTTATTTCACTAAATTATAATTGAGCAAATTTTTATTTATTATTACTTTTTTTCATTTTCTACTGTGAATTTTGCCTTTTCTTTAATGGAACGGTATGAATAACTTTGAGGATGGCTGCATATGATGTGAACATATTTAAGTGCCTGATGCATCATTTTATATGCATTTTTGCACAACATGTGCTGCGTATAGAGCACTGATTCTCCCATTCACACATAGACCAGGGTTCAGTGTCTTGCTTTAAGGACTGACATGAAAACAGAAGAAGCCAAATCACCAAACACACTCTACATCCTGAGTTACAGCTGCACCATGGTGTTTTTTATCTGGAGGCTTTGGATTATTTGACTACAATCTAAATAAAACGTGTATTTGAATAGTACTTTCCCACCATGAAAATTGGTTTGCAATACAAGGTTTGAAGACTCTGATGTACTGATCATTTTCTTATAATATGTTAGCGCCAGTATCATGCATTCAATACATTTTATTCAGCTATTAGCTTATCCCGCTTGGGGGCACTCGAGATCTATCATTCAAGTGCTTTGCCAGGACTTCTAGCTGCCAGTTTGCAGGAAATCACATGGTTTCCTGGTTTTATGGTGAAAATTCTGCAGAGTAGCAGAGTTACACTGAGGGCGCTCTTGGTCTTTTTGTGATCTTCATCATGACTCTTTTTTTTTTTGTTTTTTTAAGTGAATAATTTCAACCTTCCCGCCACACTGTTCAACTTGTCCTCATGTGACCTCAAACCTCTGATTCACTCTGTTTATTTATAAGCCAGTGTGGTGGTGTAGCTCAAATGTAATTGTTTCAGTTCCCTCTACCTGCTAGTTTTCCATTACTCTTTAAGAGTTTCCAAACGACATGAAGAAGCTTTTGTATTTTAAATTTTCTGCTATAAATATGCTGATTTTTTTACAGTATGTCTTGTGACTCATTGATGAAAATTAAGTCTAAATGTTGTTTTTACCAGAGGAGCTAAACATTCTGTCAGCTGAGTAAGTTTCGGTATGCACTCATGGTTTTGCGGGTTCATATGTTTGCTGCTCTTACACAATCTTGGTTTCTAATCGATCTCCACATGACACAAGAGCTCCCACAACACAAAACCTATAGCTTCCTGTACATTACAGATTACAACCACTTGTTGTTTTGTTCTTCATGTGTCACCACAGGTTTTTTTTATTCCTCTGCTGTTCTGTTTTGCTGCTCTCACTAGATGTCAGACAAGAGCAATGAGTCAGGCTGCGCTGGTTTGCTTGGGAACCCCCTCAGCAATCTGCCAGGCTCACAGCTTCCAAGAAATCACATGGCTGCTTGTAAAAGGCCCAAACACAACCAGCCGTGGCGCTGTTACTCTGCCTTGAGGGCTACAGAGCAGGGTTACGTTGCTTTTTTAGCTGACTGAAAATCTGTTTCTGTCTGTCCGGTCTTTGCTCTCCGACGTCAAAAACAGACATCAGATCAGTGTTTTAGTGGTACCATGTCCAAAAGGCGGGAGTTCCCTGAGCTGATCATGTGACGTGTTTGATTGGATTTTTTTTATATTACCATGAGTCAGGAAACCACAAATTCACATTTTACTGACCTGTGCTGCAGTAACTGTTTGAACTGTCACATTCCCCAGGGGAAGTTAGGGGATTTACAAAGAGACAATGGGTTTTTACCTGGCAATTAAACACTGCAAAATACTGCACAGTAGAGAGGTACAAAGGCAGGAGGTTAATGTTACCAGAATCACTTTGCTTTCTACAAGCAGCAGTAGCACAAGTTCATCACACTTTACGTAGCATTATGTTGTCCCTGTCTATTCAGTTCTATTCAAACTCGTGCTTCATCATCTTTCCAGCAAAATCAGATGAGGTGTAAAAATTGCGCTACATCGGTGTCATCTCTGTTGTGCTTTGTGTTGCATCAGTTCCTTTATTACTTTTGATTTAGAGAGCAGAAGAGAAGCGAGTATAATGTTACACTGAAGCTAAACTGTCATCCAAAGCTGATTCAGCAGTGTCTAGCTGCCACTGTGTTGCTTCTTGTGCCAAGCAACTCAGGTGTTTCAGGGAAAGAAAATGCTTTATAAAATAGACAACAAGCCAAACTCTGATTGTGTTGCACTCCTGGCCTAATTATGGGACGCCTGTTTTCATGACTCATTAACTAAAGCTGCTGTAGGAGAACAGACCTGAATCAAATATTTGCTGTTTGCTGTGATATAACCTGAAGGGGCGCAACCTCAATTACTGCACAAGACAACATTTCTTTTCCTTTTGAAGTGTCCTTGTTGAGGACACAAACCAAAAACAACTTACTGTTGGTCTGGATGACACTGTCAGTCAAATGTCTGAAATGTTAATGTAGACATTACAGAGAATCATTCATACAGTCAAAAGTTTTTTTTATATGTCAGGTTATGTGTCAATCACTGTGACAGCTACTGAAAAAATCGGCACACATCACATACCTAATAGCCCCCTCAAAAAAGAGTCAAAACCGTCATGCTTTCGGTCACAAGACCTCGGGTGTGTCAGCGCTTGGTTGAGCTCGGCTGCCTGTGAATACACAGAGAGAAAGTGAAAGAATGGAGAGAGGGGACTTTCCAGTTCAGTGTGGCACAGCAGTATGGTGCCGAACTGGTTAGGCAAAAAAAAAAAAACACACATAAACATATCCAAAGATCCAAACGCACACACATATACAGAGTAGGCGCACACAAAGATTTGATGTTGCACATGCCTCATTCTTGTTATATCATAGCGAGAAAGGGCCACCAGGCCGATAGGTAATCATTTATATGTCATAATACCTCACTCTGTAACCTCGTTTGCATGTTCGTCGGCCATTTTGTGTTTTGGTTTTGATGGTATCGACCTAAGATGGTGGTTACCGTGCATTTGCGCCCTCCTGTTTTTGTAACATGGCGGAACATGATTGCTGATGGGAGGCAGCCAGTTATAAAGATGACTCACTCTGCCTGGCGGAAACATTAAATTTTCAAACTGTTGACTTTTTAACCCTGAGGATTTTCTTGGTTTCGGAACAACTGCATGTTTAAGTTGTTTTTTTTCAGGGGATTTTAAAAAGCATCAGCAATAAATAGATGAACATCCTCAGATGAACATGCAATCCTTCAAGTAATCTTAAATATAAAAATAACTGAAACACTGACTGTTAACTGTCAATATGATATTTTAATCCAAGCAAGAAAAGTTACATATTAAAACAACTCCTAAACTTAACCTATTTGATATTTATCGAAATAAACACGGGGCAACATGTTAGTGCGGTGGCTTGCCCTGTCACCTCACAACTACAAGATCCTTTATTTATTTATTGATTGTATTTCAGATACACTTATACCAAGCCTGATGGGATAATTTGTCACAAATATTCAGTATGCAATAAATTTGAGGATATTTCTCTGCAGAATATGTGTAATATTTAGAGTTTTTTTTGTTTTGTTTTGGTTTTTACACAATTTTGGGTGAAACAATACATAAACATATATTAACTCCAGCGATGCAGTGCAACGTATACAGTGTATATCTAATTGTTTTTCAGTCAGCATTGCATATATCCACATCTAAATCATAGCATCAATTAGGAGTGTGCAACAGCTCGGTAGTACGGTGGCCAACACTAAGTAGGTCGTGGTTTTGAATCTCAACCTGGGGTCTTTCTGGGTGGAGTTTGCATGTTTTCCCTGTGTCTGTGTGGGTTCTCACCAGGTGTTGCCAAAGACATGCTGGGCTTAATTGGTGATTCTAAAATGTCTGTAGGTGGGAGTGTGCTTGGTTGTCTGTCTCTCTGTGTGGCCATGTGATAGACTGGTGAACCCTGCCTTTGCCCTGAGTCGGCTGGGATAGGCTCCAGCTCCCCGTTGTCACGAGCACAAGTAGAGTTGCACAATGCAACACACATTTGAGAAGGAGAACATATTCATCCGCAAAACTTTCTCAGGGTCAAGTTTTTAAAAAGCCTAACCCGACACGTGACTTCAGTCCCCATTTTGTGGATGTACAGAAGTCTTGACAAAATGGCGGCGAATGTTGCCTAAACTGAGCCTGATCTTCGTCAGTAGAGGGGGTTGGTGTTTAGACATAATACTGTGTGCCGTCGGTGTTTATGACACAAATCGTCAGACAACTATGCAAAAATCCCCATCGCCAAAACAAAACCAAAAGTGTTGATTGACAGGGACTTTCCAGGTCATCTCAAACAATAAAACCCAACCCCTATGTACTGCGTTTAGATGCAGCATAAGAATGTCGTTGGGTCGCTTAAAAGCAGGGACACAACAAACACAACAGACACGGAAATGTGATTACGAACGCTGTATGATCATAAATTACAAACGAATAAACTTGAAAATAAATATTATTACCAAATTCAGTACTACTTCAGTAATTGAATTGTTGACACTTTCTTATTTAAGCAATGTGTTTCTCTTCTTTTCATTCTACAATACAGTGTCTACAGGACTTCCTTTTTACTTTACTATTTACAAATCTGCTCATATGTTAGATAAAGCCATTGTTCTACAAATTAATTGAGTTTTTAATTAGGTCATGTGAATGTCAGGTAATGTAACTGATAAAATGAGTTGATAAATACGGCATACAAGGCAAGAAAAACACAACTGAAACCAGTAAATTCAGATACACGTCTGATGCTGTTGAGAATTTTTTATTTGGGACACAGAGTCCATAAAGCAACCTTTGACTTTTCTGATCAATAAAACATTATAGTGGCAAACATGACATGTTGTGTCAAACATTTATTTGTCATGATTAAATACCGTGGAAAGAATTGGAACAACTGTGATATTAATATATCTCATAGCAAAGCATCACTTAAATGTTATTTGTCTGCAAAATAAACAAGAACAATTTCTGGAAAAAAAACAACTTTTAAGCTGTTTAATTTTCATTACTCATACAAAACAAATCTTAACTGAATATTTACATAAGTTAGCTACTGTTGGTTACTGCTGTCGAACACATGCAACACAGTCACACAGAACGATTCTCTCTCAGTACATCAAGCTGCAGCATCAGCACGGTAAAGAGTCAGTAGTGGGTCACTGTGGTGAATTTCCCTCAGTGAAATATTCCTTTCGCAACTTGTAGTAGCTCCCCTTCATGTCCATCAGTTCCTGGTGAGTCCCTCGCTCCCCAACTTTGCCACCACTGATCACAACAATCTGATCTGCTTTCTCAATGGTCTTCAGCCTGTGAGCGATCACCAGAAGGGTCTGGTTGGGACAGTTAGCCAGGGCCTGCTGGACCTGCAGAGAATCAAGGACAGAAATAGTTAAAACAGGATTATTAGGTATCCCATTTGCACTTCTGTAGCACAAACATATCAATACTATGGCACTGATAAGGAACAGTTTAAAGACATGGAACAGAAGAAATATACTGTCACTGAATATGATTATTTTGTTCAATGAGAACACACAACATGCATGAAAGACCAGCGACCAACAAATCAGTAAAAACGGAATAAATTATATTGTTTATTACATTTCTTCAAACTGATTGTAGAAATACATTTTGATGGGTTTTCTGTTTCAGTCAGCAGTGAAAGATAGTTGACCTTACTTGTCATATGCTTCATAATTTGAAAGATATTGTTAAATATTGCATCTAAATGTAAATGGTTTAGAACTGGGCAAACACACTAAACACATTGAAGAAAAAACACAGCATATTAACTTTCCCCAAATTTTTTTTTAATGCAAATTACATTTTTTTTTCAAGCTCCGAGCAGTAGGATAAGTGAACATTTGATACTGATCCATAATATCTTGATTATTCAGTTAGAAATTCTATGACAGACCTGCTCCCTTATATTTATTAGATTTTTGGGGGCAATTCTTATCAACTAAATGACAAATGAGTCATGAGTGAACACATCTTAATGCATCTGCAGCACCTCATCTACATAAGTGGTAAATATTGACTTTGTCTTTTTAGTCAGTTAGTCTTGCTTAGCCAGTCCATTCTGCGTTACAGCATCGTCTGGCTGCATTTCGTTATCATTCTGCAATGGCGGAAAAAACATGCTGAGGCTTGTTTGTATTTCGTTACATAAATAACAATCATATTTGGTGGAAATTTGGTGTTCCCTTAACCCTGTTCAGGACTTTCATGTTGCCATATGTAGAAGGTCTTTCAGGGTCCACGGGACCCCAAGAAAGAATATGTGCACAATATTTGTTGGTATTTATTACAGACTTTTAGAGTATGTTAAATCAATTTTTTGACAAGTTTACATATTTTTGGTTCCAAATGCATGACAAAAGTCCCTCTTTCTATACTTGAAAAAAATACCTTCAAAAATAAAAAGACAACACCTGTCACCTAAACCAAATGGCCTGGGGTCCAAAAGACCCCAAAAGTCCTGAATAGAGTTAAAATAGGGACAGGTGAATTGTTTTGGTGGAACATTTGCACACATTGAGACAATAACTTTCATTAAAATGGCTAATTTACAGGAAAACAAAAACAAAAACTGGCAAGGCTGTCTTACTGCACGATCCAAATTAAAATGTTTCTTGTGGAGGGCTGCTGCTTGGAGGTTGTTGTTACTTGTAGTGAGGGAAACAGGAACACACAGATTGCAGAGGGAGAGGAAAAAGCTGCATGAAATGTGCAGCCAATGGCAGACAAATACCCAATGCCTACATCTGGTCTAAGTCAGAATTAATCACCTGTTATTGGTGTGACTTTTAGACAACCATTTACAGCTTTGTTGGCGCAAGTGATACAAGGGTCTTCAGGTATTCAACCAAATTTTACTCACTATTTAACTGATGATATGTGACTTGTTTCAAATCTCTAGGCTACTGGCTCAAGATGATACTAAGGTCTTGAAAGTTTACGCATACCTTATTTTCACTCTCCGTGTCGAGGGAGCTGGTTATTTCATCCAGAATGAGGACCTGTGGCTGTCTGACCAGAGCTCGAGCGATGGCGATCTGCTGCCTCTCACTCTTGGACAACTGGCTGCCACTTTCACCCACCTCTGAAAAATGGATTCATCATGAAATCACAACAGCATGAAGTTTAGGTAAATTTATCTCTTCATATTCACAAATTGAATTTACAGACAGTCCTGCTCTCCAAGTGATATTATATTCACCCTCAAAGAAACAGAAGGTTTTTATGTCTGCATGCAACTGTGTAAAACAATTTACCTGTCTCGTAGCCTTTCTCCAGCTGCTTGATGAAGTCGTGGGCGTTGGCTTTACGTGCTGCTTCCTGGATCTCGTCCAGCGAGCAGCCAGGAAGCCCGTAGGCAATGTTGTCTCTAATGGAGCCAGAGAAAAGCACAGGCTCCTGGCTCACCACTGCAATCTGTTAAAAACACTCCCATTAGCTTAACTGTATGCATGGCACATGGTATACAAGTACATAACAGATCTTTGTACACAATTAGATGTACAATTAATGCAATGATTTTATCTCAGAATTTTGACTTTTCTTAAAATTCTCAGGTTCATATTATTTGCTTTTGTTATGGTATCTATCAAATGTTAACCTTTTATCTCAACTGGTTCTTCATGATACCAAACAATAACAAGTTGCAAGGAAACATGCAGATTATTTCAATAGACAAATGCATTGCACTCTCTGCTGCTTTTACATTAGTTTTATTGGCATAAGATTGTTTAGACAGAAGCATGAGACTAGCGTGCACCACCAGAATTAGCACCAATGATCCATTACCTTCTTGTGGAGGAAACGGTGGTCATAGGATTCTAGGGGGTTGCTGTCCAGGAGGATTTCTCCACTCTGCGGTTCATAGAATCGCTCCAGCAGACTCACGCAGGTGCTTTTTCCTTCTCCAGACGAACCCACCAGGGCCGTCATCTGACCTGGCTTCAGCTCCAAGGTAAAGTCCTGAAGCAAATGACAGATAATGATTGTTTGAGTGACAGTGTATGTGCCATATTTGACACACATAGAGTGAATGGAAATATTCATCCTTAAACTATATTTATACTTCTTATTTACTGTCCATCCAAGTATTCTTACCTGCAGCACTGTTTTGTTTGGGTTTGTAGGATAGGCAAAGTTGACGCCCTGGAAACTGACGCGTCCGGTCAATTGATCTGGTTTGCATTCTCCGTCTGTGCTGACCAGAGGTTTTCGGTCCAGGTACTCAAACACTTTTCCAGCAGCCGCCACCGAGTTCAGCATATCACCAAAGATGTAGGTGAGTGTCTGGAAGATGACAGGCAGAACACAGGGTTTGTAAACTGGTCACTTACTAACAATTTTTTTCATTTACTGAGTGTTAGAGCTGCCATATGTCTTATTATTCGTGCCTAAAAGTCTTCTTAGGTCACCTGTCACTGGTCTTGTATCATTGTAGGAACATAAAACCACAGTGAGTCTGCTTTGAGGTTTTATGTTCCTACAATAAATGATCTGCAATAATAATACCAACTAGCCTAATTGCTAATCTTTTAGCTAACTGCTTTTAATCACAAGTCCTGACTGAAAACAATACACAGAGCATTATGGGATACCCTAATGTTGTCTCCAAGATTTGACTGGTAGAGGATGAAGGACACCAGGTTGCCAGTGGTCATCTGCCCCCTCTGGATGAAAAGTCTTCCATAGTATAACATGATGACCTGCATGCCCAGTCCTGTCACCTACAGACACACACACCAAGGCTGTTAGAGAAGAAGGTAAACAAGGTGGTGACTCAACACCAACTAATCTCTAAGAAACACACAGAAACTAACTTCTTACCCTCCGCACAAGCAGATAAATGGCCCTCACAGTGTCCCGGTGGGTTTTAAGTTTGTGTATGTCCATCAAGCGGTTGTCATAGCGGCGGGCCTCATGTGTTTTGGTATTAAAGCTCTGTACGACACGAATGCCAGACACAACCTCATTGGCAGCTTCGTTTGCCAGAGCCATTGAGTCCTGCATAGCCAGGGACAACCTCTGAGAAGGACAAAACAGGAAGGAAGTTAGTTCTTCAGCCATATTTTTCTAACATTTGATAATACTTTGTCTCCGATACGGCTGTGCAATCAATAGATTTCAAGTAAAAACTGTGATTTGAAACAGTGCAGCTAACAAAGACAGCCATTTATGATGCACGTTTTTCAGCACATCAGACGCAGGGTTTAACCTGTTGTGTCAGTGATTTTACAAATTCATGCCATCCTCTCTGTGTAACGTTTATATTTTTGAAGGTGTCTCATGTGGGAATACTCTATCACATTTTTTAATTCTATGACATGGTGAATATGAAACTTAAGCTTCACTTTAAAAGGTATTTTGCATATCTTACCGCAATATCTTTCAATAAATTGGACCTTATATTGATACAGTATAAGCCTTTGGATCCAGTGTCAGTTAGTCTCTTTTCACATGCTTTTACCTGGTAGTATGTGTCATAGATGTTCTGTATGAGGCCAGTAACAGGTGTCTCCATCAGTACAATGAATGTGAGCTTCCACGAAAGATTCATCATCAGGAAGATCATGCCCAGAGTCTTGATGAGTGTCCTCAGCAACACGTTGACATTCAGACACACTGTTCTTCCCATCAGGTTGGTGTCTTTAGCCAGTCTCGATGTGATTTCACCTGCAAGAAATTAATTTAAAGTGATCTTTTTTTTCATTCTGATCCTTTTTTTAAAAAAAAACAAAAAAAACTTTGTCCTGTCTTTTTATGCCTGTTTTGATGCACTATTTGGTCTCAACATGACATGATCTGTCCTTCACTTGCACAACTTAATGCTATATTATGAGAGCCTTACCTGTCTTTATGGTCTCAAAGAATGCAATTTCCTGTTTGGTCAAAGCCCCAAACAGCATGACTTTCACTCTGCAGGTGTAAACACTGATGGCACAAAGTAAGAGACCCCCTCTGCAGCCGGCACTCACAGAACTAGTCAGTCAATCAAAGAGAAGGTCAGTTAGATATCACACAGGCTCATGACTGGGATGAATGTGGAGGAAAGCATTATCCCATACCTTCCCACAGAGTACAGGCCCATAAAGAGGAGTGCAGATAAAAATTCACTGTGTTGGTAATGACTGCCAAGGATATCGATGACTCTCCCTGTGTAGAAGGGGATGAACATCTCACCTGAGAAAAGACAGTAGACATAATTAGACTAATAAACCAGCCAAATTAACATCAGATTAGCATCATTACTAGGAATGTGTCCTAAAAGCAGACTTACAACTCTTCTAATTCCACACTGAGAGTTTCACCATTAAATGTTGATAACTACATCTGTTGTAAAATATTGCAATAATTGCTTACTTTCCCCTGTGTTCATGGCTGATAATAGGACATTACAGTTAAGATCAAATCAGTATGTTTACAACTATCTGAGTGGTGTGCATATTATTAGACAGATGGCAACAACATTTTGTATGATTGTTGTACAAAATAGTATGAAATACTAAAACAGACAAAACAGGTCAGAAACTAGCAAACTCAGTTTCTAAATATTAAGACAATTAAGAGCAGCCAAAAGCCACTGGAAACATGGAGATCTTAAGGTATCTTCTTGAAAATATCAGTTATTTCCACCTTCTATTAAGCATCATATGAGCTACAGACTGAGACCAGCTGCTGTGCACTTACAGATGGCTGCCAGCGACAGAAACACGAATCCTCCGAGCAGCAGGTGATAGTGGGGTTTGAGCATGTAGAGAACTCTCATAAACAGCACTCTGGCCTTCTGTTTCTTCTCTTTACCGTCGGCTGCATCGTCGCTGTCCGGGACTGTGATCTCCCAAAACAGCGCAGCAGCCAGCGACGCTCCTGCGGCCATCATCCAGCAGCGCGCATCCGTCGCTCGGCCACATTGGCTGTCCTCGGTGTAAAGCGCCTTGGACCCGGTCTCAAACACCGCGGGTAGCAGACTGTGCGTCGTTATTAAACGATTCAGCCACGGGCTGAGCTCCCCGAGTGTGAGCAGCGTTACAGCAGCCAGTGCAACCCACCGGAGAGCCGCGGAGACCCATAAACGTGCAAGATTTCCAAAGACGCTCTGAGTTACCACACATCCAGATGCGTAAAAGAGAGAAAAGTCCACGCACACCGCTAAAATCAAAGCAGCGACTTTGTGCATTGTTGTTGCCGTGTTAACGGCCATTTTTCAGCCGACTCTCGTCCTCTTATGACCTGCTCAGCCGTGGGACCAGTGTTTTAATTTTGCTTCAACTTTCAGTTTCGATTTCTGTGAGGCTCAGGGGTTTCCCTGAAACACACACAACACTACACTACACAACACAACACTACACTACACTACACTGACACAGGACAAGGCAGGAGTTTTAACTTTAATATTTTTTTAATGTAATTGTCATCAATATGATTCATTTAACCACCATCATTACATTGGGTTAAAACTCAGTCATAGTCAGTCATAGCATGAGACTATTCTTTCATATGTACATAAAACATAAAAACAAGCTAAAGGGATGGTTCACTGAAATAAAGACAATCAAGAAGTAAACCTTTGAACACATGGATTTTATTTCATTATAAACCTCACATCATTGACATAAAGCATGTGTAGGGTCATTGTTAGCGTATCCACTATGAGAGGACATACTCAAAATGTTTTTCAAACTCAAGGTTTTTAATAATGTCCGTTCAAGACCATCTAACCATCTTAGTTTTGTGTTAATGTTGGGATTAAAAAAACTAAACTAAACAAAAAAACAACTACCGCTAAGTGGAGAGAAATGTTGGTGAAATAATCCTGTGTTTGACTTTTTGGTGAAGTGTTTCTCAGACTGAATAGTTCATCACAGGACAGATGCTGCTCTGATGCCCCAAAAAATACAGAAGTGTTTCTGTGTGACTGTACTTATAGAGACGTGTAAGGCTTTTCCAAAAGTAGGTATATTTATTTCAGTTCACTCTGACACTCACCACTAAAACACAGAAGGAATAATGAGTCTTCTAGCAAGTTTAACAAAAGGAAGTGACCTTGGATGACTTCAACAATTTCTTTGACAAACAAATCAAAGATATTTATTGTAAGCTTGTTTTTAAGTTAGATTTCAAACTCATTGCTGCAAACTTGAACAACTACAATTAAACTCACTCAGAGGCTGCCTGATAACACACTGAAAATAACTTTGGGAATTAGTAAGAAAATGCAAGAATACACTTGTTTGATGTTTTTTGGTTAATAAGCTGGATTAGTTGACCGCTGTGTCAAAGGAAAAATAAAACTGAGCCATGGCTATTTTCAGATTGTCAGGGAAACACACATGTCACTGATCAAAGAAGGTGGGTAAGTCATTTCCGAGAACGACTTTCTCCTCTGTGTTGTGTTCATCGATGGTGACCATGTAGGCCACGCCGCCACTGGAGCCGTCACGGTTCATGGCCAAAGCGAGAGCTACAAGAAAAAGAGAAGGAGTAATGATGTAGTTTTTCTAAGACAAAATATTGACTATATTGTGAAATAATACATAATAGCTCTGTCCAGCTGTTGATACAAGGAGCAGCAAATGTCTGGTTTCTTTTTTAATATCAAATAATCTGACTAGAAGCAATGTGGAAGAAAAGAAATAACTTACTGTTGACAACAAACTGCTGGCACTCCTCCTTGCTCATGTCTTTGCGATATTCAGCATCAACAAAGCCATAAACATATGAGCTGCCAGAACCTCCAATTGCAAAAGGCTGCCTTGTCAGGAGCCCATTCAGGGTTGCAAACACCTGGAGGTCAAAGGGCAAAAGAGCAGAACAGAGTTATTCTTCATGGATACCCGTAACATCAAGCGTGTAAGAGAGCAAGAAGACATTAACAGCTGCTTTGCCTCTTACCGTAATTTCCAGACTATAAGCAGCTACTTTTTTCACACGCTTTGAACACTGTGGCTTAAACAATGATGCAGCTAATTTATGGATTTTTACGATTTTTACGAATTTGCCTTGAGACGAAAGTGACATTGAGAGTGACAACTAAAAACAGACTGAGGAAGTGTGTGACGAAGTAATTCTGAGGCTGTTCGACTCCGACACTGAAGAAGACGACTTTAGTGGTTTTAGTGCAGGAGGAAGATGAAGATAGCGATCGATGACTTTTCCTGGTAGGCTGCTGTATTATTTTTTTAACCAGCTGTTTTACAGGTACTGTTCAGAAAAAAAGCATTTAAGGTTACCGGTACGTATTTAATTAAAAGTTTTAAAAAATCTTTCTGTGTAAATATCTCATGTTACAACGTGGACTCCTGCTGCTTAGAGACAAGTGCGTCCTGTATATGTTCTAATTTTTTTTTTTTTTTAAAGTTAGTGGGTGCGGTTTATATTCAGGTGCGCTAAATAGTCCGAAAATTACAGTAATCACATCAGCAGAAGTTGCAGAAACATTCATTTTGGTATTATTCAGTGTGCCAGTGCAAAAGCATTAAAGCACACTTATTGTTATTCCTCACAATTATTCCTAGTATAGATTGTTCCACTGACTTTCGGCTCCTAACTTCTCCCTCAGCTTTAAGAAAACCCACACAAATTATATATGAAAACATGCAACTCGATCGGGCATGGTGTTCTATGTTTTCTGGTAGTGATTCATCATACGATTTTCTTCAATAATTTGCAAACAAATGCATTGAAAAGCCTCTTCAAAATGAAGGAGAAGTCGGAAAGACAACTGCCAAAACCCAGCCATCTTTGGAACCCTGTAGCTCTGCCATATTTTATAATAGAAACTTCATTCAAAGTTTAAATGGGTCACCAGACTTTGAATATTAGTTGTTTACATCCGTGTTTTGATATCTTTCTCAATTTTTACACAGTAGCAGTTTAAGTTTCATGAGCTTTTGTAAAACTCAGAATTTTCTTTGAGTTGGAGTGGGGGACATCACGTGTGGTGTCACCTACTTTAAAGTTTGATCAGAATTTAAAAAAAAAATAAAATGCAGGTAATTTTGTCTCCTCACATTTTTTTTAAATCTACAATTTATAGGTAAAATTGTAGGCATTTTTATCCTGTTTTAACCAGTGTGAGTCTCGATACCATACGACCTATGTTTTTTCATAAATTACCTCAAAGCACAGAGTGTGCCAACCAAAACTCTAATTGACTCTCATTATATTGGAGCTCCAACATTTCGGA